TTTTTATTTTTGCCGCAAAAAAACAGAGTAATAATCGACATTTCCTTCCACTTCTAAAAGCAATTAATCGCAAAGAGCAACAGTGGACATGCAGACCCCTTTTCGACCAAACAGCTAGCAACTGCATTTAACAAGCAGTGACCATCCCCCCCCCCCCTTGTATTTTCTACACGCATGTACATTCCGGCACCTTGGAGATGTTCTATCAGCTGGATTTTGACTCCAGTTGGAGTTGTACTGGGTGCGTCGCTACTCTCTTCAATGTTGTAAATAAAACATTTAGAGAGATAAAAAACAATCGAAAAACACCGTGCGGGGTAGGTTGGAACACCCCTGACAGTGTTCCAACTGACCCCATGTCAAATGTTCCGACCAGCCCCCATGACATCATGACCTACTTATGACACTGTATTTCTTTAACGCGTGTGAGGTGATTAAAAAAAACTACAGCTTTTTGAACATCAAGGTGGTCCTAAACCCTATGCACAATTTCAGTGATATAATCCTTATACTTTAGTTTACAGCACGATGAATGTCAAAAATATGAAAACTTACTTCGAGTGGCGAAAATACGTTTTTTTCGCATAAAACTTTTACCGCATTTTCGAAACTTCCAAAAGTTTCCCGGATTAAAGTTCATGCCATGTGACATTTTTATGCTGAAGGAGCACATGATCGGTCTCGTGATTTAAGAAATAAAGCCAATGTTCCAACTTACCCGCGTTCCAACCCACCCCGCTCTCCCCTATATATACGCCAAACACTCAGTAAAGTTGTGACTTTCTGACTGCTAGGAGAGCTCTTTATTACGAGAAGGCTTGAAATAGATTTAAAGACCTCGGTTTCGTTTCCCACCACACAAATGGCGACTCGAGAGGGAGGAAATTCGCTAGTAGACCAATTTATTGCAATAACAGGTAAGTGCTAGAGTTTAACGACAAGGTTCTTAGGTTCTCCGGTAAGTGTGATATATTCTGAAATTATGTACGGTTACAAAGTCCACAGAACGATTCGATGCCGTGTAAAGGGGCGTTCAGTAAAATCACGCTTGGTTGTCATTTCACAGCTTTGCTGAAGTGAAGACCAGTGTCAGTGAAGGTTGTGAAGATTAGTAAAGTTTATAGGTTGATGATTCGTGAATCAAAAACTACATCAAACGATCCATATTGGACCACATAAGACTACCAAACAGCAACAAAAATAAGATATTTAATTGAAATTTAAATAAGATCCAACCAAACAAGTTACGGAAGTTTTCAATTAAGATAAATCATATATGTACGTGTATAACCTGTAATGTTATTGGTTTACATACATTTTCCTTTAAAATTGTACTCATCATTAAAGGTCATGAACTTCAGACACTGTCTTCGTGCCATGAATAATTTGAAAAATGAAATAGAAGCAACAACAGCAATTAAGTGATCCCTTTTAAAGCCCACCCATACTGCCACATAGCAGAGTGCCCATATATATACTGTAGTAGACTTCCTTTAAAGGTACATACAAACCCAGCATCCGTGGAGCGTGGATTCCCAGTAACACATGTAAACCACTTCTACTAGATTCTTATATGACTCAAATAAATTCGACATGCCAAGGAATAAACTGAATAAATCACTCAGTCAGCCATAAAAGACCTTTAGACTGCTCCTTTCTTTAAATTTTTGGTTGTAAATTTAACCTACTTTCGTGACCTACTTTCCTGCCCCATTGACATACAGCTTAGAATGCCAGCAGAAAAATCCATTCAAACATCATTTTCGGGTAAAATTAAACAATGCTTTTTGGTAATTCTCTTAGTTATACTACTTGAAACTATATGCTGGCATTTGGTTGGTTTTTGTGACAAAAAATTGACTTTGTATGCATCTTTAAATAATCTGGGTAGAAAAATTCCACACAGCCCATAAAGTAATCCATGTTGAGAGCTTAATGACAGCCAGGCATCGATGTTACAGTGCTAGTTTTACTAAACGCACAGTTATCTAGAGACCATTTCTTGCAAATTGATTGTGTCCACAATTTTATTTGTATTAGCTTTTTTCAACACTTCCACGAAGCCATATCATTTAATAATTTATCATCCTAGTTTGGAGGGGGCGCTTGTTTGAAATTAAAACCAATAAATGATGCCACTGTTTGCTATTAAATATTTGCAGGAGCTGACAAGGTTGTAGCAGAGCGATTACTGGAAGCATGTAACGGCAACTTAGAGATGGCCATTGGCATGCATATAGATGGTGCTGCAGGACAAGAGGAGCCAGGACCAACACCTGGCACAAGTAGTCGAGTCTCATCAGCACCTCTTCAAGATGACGAGTAAGTTATCACATGACAGCACTTTTTTTTCTCTTGGTGCCAGGTGTCAATCTCAAACGATTTATATTTACATGATTAAGACAAGTGTATATTGAATTTTTTAACCCTCTGTCTGACTATTTTATCTGGCTTGAAAGGTTATATAACCTGTGTTGAATAGGTAGTTTGCTATTAAGAATGCATTTATTGTCAGTTTGTCTATGTATAATACCATATAATTATATATGATAGCTGTAATTGCCTGTATCAGGAATTGCCTCTCAATCCTCTAATCAAAGATGCAGTTGCATCACTTGTTGCAGCTGTGTAACACATAGAGGTACATTACTAAGATTATATTAAAGATATTGCTTCCTTGTATAACAGAAGCTAGTATCCAAATATTATCAAACATAAACAGTAAGATAGTATTTCAAAGTCATATTTGACAGTATTTTTCCAAGATTTTGCACAAGCTTTTAAGAATCAGTTTTGATTGGAATGTCAACCTATTCATCAAAAATGGCCGTAGTCTAGCTGCCAAGGTCACTTTTCTCTGCACACTTAACTATTTTACTAAATTAATTAAGGTTTAAATTCTAGTTTGACAAGACAAAGTTGTTTATGTGCTGTTGAATACAGTAGCTTTTCTTACAATATTATTATTATTATTATTATTATTATTATTATTATTATTCCTTTACTGATACTACTACATTAATAACTGGTGATTGTTGACTGTGCATTAATGATATTAATTTCCCATGTTTGGTGTGTTTACAGAGATGACATCAGAGCACCAGATCCACAGAAGCATGAAGTTCTTGTGCACGAATCCTACAGCTTTGGTAATAACCAGAAACTTGGAAGTGTTATGATTGAAGCATTTACAGTATCTATTTGTCTTCTTAATTTTTGCACATTGGCCTCTTTTGTGTTACTCTTTTATAATAAAGCTTACAGAATGAAAAACAAACTATTTTATTTGTTATCATGATTTCAATTACGGATTTCAAATGTATGAACATTTTACGGAAACACAACTTCCAGAATACATTATAAGAGAGCCAAGGTTAAAAAAACTACATGATATGTAATGTTAAATGTTTAATTTGTCTTATATGTGATCTAGCTGATTTTTCAGGTTTCCGTGGACGTAGAAGAACTACAAGATCTGTGTTTGATGGATTCAGGGATTTTCAGGCAGAAGCCAGTAAGTATACACTAGTGCCACCTGTAGGTGTGAATGTCTTCATGCATTTCTTCTATCGTTTTACTTTTTACATCTGTATACTTATAAAAATCTAAATTCATAGAGCAATACGACATGAGATGAAGCAGAATATTAATATAACAGAACCTAAAGCATTAACCTTCTTTTAATTGGCAGCTATTATTTTATTGTTTGAAGTGCGGACTGTGGAATAATTAATAATACTAAAGAACTGAGCCACTTTAGCAGAGGTCTGACATCTCTGAGTGCTTTTCTAGTATGTTGATGTTCTTATGTATAGGGCAGCAAGAAATAATGCAGGATGAGGGGAAGGTGCATAAGAGAAAAACTCTGGAAGATCTTTTCCGTCCACCTATTGATCTGGTTTTCAAAGGAACATTCCACGCTGTAAGTGCTAAGGGCTTTGTTATTGTTGGTTTATTATGAATTTTATTTATTAAATTTATTTATATTTTTAAATATTTATTTATTTATTTTTATTAATTTTTTGTTTTTGATATCACAAGAAAATTAAATTCTGAAGCTGAAAAATGTACAAGCTTTGTATCAATATGATAGCAATAAGGCTGACTTAAAAAAGAATGAAAATGATTATTTATTTTGTTGTCTAGAAAACTAGACCAGATTTGTACAGATTTTTTTAAAATTCATTATGTGAAGTTCATGGGTGATACATATTGGATAGATATATATTTCTTATGTTACAAAAATTTACCCTTGTCGTTATAGGCTAAGGAATATGGCAGCACCAGTAACAAGTGGCTAATGGTGAACATACAGAACGTACAAGAGTTTTCCTGCCAGGCGCTAAACAGAGATGTGTGGAGTCATGCTGCTGTGAAAACTATCATACAGGAACACTTTGTTTTCTGGCAGGTAGGTCATGGGTTGTGGCATGAAGGTCATGAATACTAATAGCAGGTGCTTCATGGACACAAGTTGTGGCAGGTAGGTCATGAAGACAGAGCTATGTATGTCATGAGCACTGTATTAGCAGGAGCTTCATAGACTCAAGTTGTGGCAGGTAGGTCATGATGTGACAACATGACACCATGGTCTGAAAGTATTTGTTACATACATTTTATAACGGAGGCTCATATTGCAGTTGTATTCCTTTTATTGTTCCGTAAATACAAGTCATGATCTCCATTAGTTTAACAGTGAAAACGTTGATGTCTATACCCTTTACTGTAATCCTGTAAAACAAATATAGTACTTAGACTTCGTTCGTTATTATTTTACCTTTCGTTGCGTTACAATCTAAGTATACTCATTAACTTGTTATACAGTTTTTCTAATAAGGGCTTTCGCTTACACGCTTTCGCTTACACACTTAAGTTATAAGACTTACTTCTAGGTTTGGACATTATTGTTACTTTTGCATTTTAAATTATTAGCCTTTAACTATTGTTATATAATAAAAAAGATAGAATAAATTACCTTGACTTAAGAAATATCTGTTAAATGTGAAGCGCTCTTTTGCATGAAACCACATGGTTTCGGACATCTTATAACAAAAAAATAGTACCGGAAGAACAAAAATGACTGCGTTTTAACAATGTAAAAAATATATATATGTTTAACTGCAAAAATGTAAATAATGAAAACCAAAAGACAATAATAATTTAAAGAAACACAATCACAAAGTGTAAAAGATAAGTTAAGTAAGCTATCTTCGTGCAGAACTTATTTTCC